CCTCCCCTTGTTAGTGAAATAATATGTGTGGATATCAAAAAGAAAAAAAATGTTTAAATAAACCTAATAAAGTGAAACAAAATAATTTTTTTACCACTCTCAGCAATCGATTGCTTCTCCGCCCTGACATCCGGATTTATATTTATATCACCTGGAAGTCCATCATGATCAGTGAGATCCAAGGATAGGGCGTGCACGGAATGAAAGCCACCTAAAGCGATCAGTAACAGAGAAATAAACATGACTGTATCATGAAAGGTGGATTCTCTTTTATATATATATATATATATATATATATATATATATATATATATAGTTTTAAAAAAGATAATAACTTAATCACCTTCAAATAAATGGAAGATATTCACTTATTTTGATAATTGCAAAAGTATATTGCTCTTTTTGGTGAAAACTAGTTTTCTATGATCTTCGGTTCAAAAGATATTTATTTCAAGTCGCGATAAAAGGCTTACTGATAAGAACTCACGTACTTCTTACTGATAATAAAATAATAAAAACTGATGTTTGACGGATGAAGGTGGGATTAAGTCAAGGTATGTTTAGAGATTTCAAAAATATGTAACTTCACTAACAGCGATAATAGTGTTAACCCAATTTTTTCTTTTATTTCACTTGTTACCTAGAGGAGAATATGGAAAATATAAAAAAAATAAAGAAAAACACTTGCGGATGTAAAAAATCTATTGCTCGCAACACACAACTTTCACTTTCTCTTTGAACTTTGAATAAAAATTATTTTCTGGCCATGTTAGGCTATTATAAAATGTTTTAAATTGCATTTTAAACTGAGCTAAAGCTAAAAAAAACACAAATGCTATTAAAATAACAAAAGTCCTATTTATTATATCACCGGTAGATTATGAATTGTACGATTCGTTGATTATAGATTGTTCGATCCATTGATTATGGATTGTACGACTATAAGTCATTAAACTGCTATTTTCCAAAACTAGAGACCATATCTTATCACCTAATTATCCGATTTTAACGATTTTTTTTTTGTTTTTTAGGCTATTCCATAAACTTTTAGAAAACCATACAACATTCCCAAAAAAAGTGTATACTTTTTGAGTTATTCGGAATTTAAGTTTACCATCCCTCGTAACTTTTTTTCAGCTTCCTTTCGCTGATGAATGTTATATAGATAAATTTGAAGGGTGTCGAGAAAATGACTTTAGCGAAGTTTCAATGAAATCGGTACATTCGTTTAGGCGCTACAGTCTATAGCTACGTTTTTCTGCATTTTTATTTTTTTTCTCCTTTATTAACATATCAAATTCTTTCAAAAGTTATATTTAGCATTTCTTCGTAACTCTAAATAATTATCTTTTTAACATAAACCATATTAAAGGTACTTTAGAGGAAGACGTATATGAACATTGGGCATTTAAGCCCTGTAAAGTGACATCAATGGGAATAAGACCTAATTTATATTAAAGACCACTTAATTATACAATGATACACCGAGTTTAATCAAAATCGTTAGAGCCGTATTTGAGAAAACTGTGAAAATGTGTTTCAGCGTTGATATAAAGTGGCACTTCCGGTTAGCTGATTTTAACAAAAAAGTTGCCGTCACAACTAAGGCATACACCTATCTTAAATACGTGATATCAGTTTCATAGGACTTTTCGTTTTTGAGCTAGACTGCTAACATACAAACACACAGACACACAGACCATTTGTCGGGACTTGGTCATTTCGACTCAGGATACCTCAAAGCGTATAAATCCGTCGAAAACTCAGATTCAAAAATTTTCTCGATCGCAATACTTACACTTACTATACATTACATATATACATAAGTGAAAGTAAAAACCGTTTTGATATTTGTATTTCCCATAGTTTGTGAAATGTCTGAACGCACTTCACAGTTTCTAAAACGATTGCTTACCTTTTATATAGTAAGTACAGGCATGAGCAATGTACCGCAGTATTCAGGATTTAATTTTTAAGGATCTCTTTATTTTATATTTTTCTATAACGGTAATTAATCTAGAATAAAAAAAAGAAAAATAATCTATATAAAATGACGTTCAAGTGGCCCTTGAAGAACAGTTTATATACTAAAATAATCATAAAGCTAGAAAAAAAAAAAGATTGCAGCAAACATCTCACGAAGCCATCCAAATACATACTCCTAACAGCTAAGGAAGGGTGTATTGAACAGCTGACTAGACGTAATACATGGGGAAAAATAAACAAAACTAAAATATAATAATACAGAACGTGTTAAATTAAATTAAATTTTTTGTTTTTTTTATATCATATAAAATACTAAATAAATAAATAACTTCTATACCCAAAAAAACACAAAGGATAGGCGGCCATTCCACAATTAATTTTATTTTATTTTGCTTCCTCATTACCTAAGGAAGGGAAGCATTGTGTTCATGGGAGAGATTAAAAAAAAAATTGTGTGTTCAGAATCGAAAATTTCCACTCGCATTTTACGTTTCATACATCAATGATCAAATTCGGTTTGGAGTCTTGCCTGTCTGTCAGTGGTCAAATCGTAACGTGCATATTGCCTACTATCATTTATCCAATTTTCAAGGAATGTGTGGGTCCCATATCAATTTCATCTAGTGCGCAAACGTATATTTATTGAAATGTCAAAATTAATGTAAATAATTTTTAACAGTATAGTGACTGTGAAATATCTAAGGAATTGATAATGTTTAATGGGGATTAGGTCAATACAAGATTTTTATGAGGTTGTAAAATTTAATAATTTCTTCATAAGTCTTAAGGGGGATAACTTTTTATATGGGGTATATAAGTGAGATTTAATAACTGCATTTACTCTCACAACAATTTTTTCTTTATTTGTATGACATTTCAGAATCCACTTTCTTATCTCATCTTCTGACTAGAATTTAAAATATTTTTGTTATTTATATTTTTTTACTATTCCGACAATATTTTGTTATTATAATTTTCAACAACAATAACAGAAATTGCCAATCTTACCAGTATCTCATACTAATATCATCTTATTTTCTTTTATATGGCTTGTCATATTTTTTTTTTTTATATTTTTATGATTCATCCCTAAAATGCAATAATTTCTGTTTTTATTTCTTTTATTATTACTATTTTTATGTATGTAGCAAGTTTCTATAACGAATGCATTACCTTAAATTATATTGTGGTCTCATTTAGGGAGAGCCTAATCAGATATGAACCAAACCTTGAATAAAGAGTCAAATTCCAAAGCATTTTTACATATTTAATTTGTTAATTATATAAGCATAATGGCTCCCTATTTTAGCTGCATCAGTTTTATAATTTATTGCTTTTTTATTTTGTTTAATGATAAATATGGATTCTATTATTATTTTTCTATGTGTACTATTTGTTTCTTTTATAATATTTCTGGTTGTGTTAAATTGAATGTATGTCTATTTGTGATGCTATGGTGAGCTAGGGCTGTTTTATTGTCTACTTTACTATTTTTTGAATCATTATATTGTTGGTTCATTCTTTTTTCTAAGATTTCTCTCGTTTAGCCTATGTATGTTGATTCGTGATAATTAATCTACCTTGTAAACAACATATTTTTGTTTTAATTTATTTATTTTATCTTTCATCTGACTTAGTTGGTAATTTATTTTGTTTTGATGATAAGAACTTGTGTTTATCTCACAGTTATTATGATTAATTTTTTTTTTAATTTTACGTGTTAAAGTAGGGATATAATTTAATCTGTAATATTTTTTTATTTGTTTTCCAGATTCATTTTCCCGTGTGTAATGATTATTTTTTATTTCTATGTTTTTTCTCTGTCACTATAGTATTATTAGATGTAAAAAAAATCTTTTATAGATTTTTGGATAAATTACATTTTATTTTGTAATTTTTTATGGATTAAAAGTTGCAAGTTTTGGTTATTTTCTACTTTATCAAAAGGTTTTTTTTTTTGTATTTTCTCTTTGTTTATTTATTTGAAACTACATTTTTTTAATCATTGGTTTAGGGAACCACACCAACTGAAGTGATAAAACAAGAACTAACGACGCTTGGTTTCAAAGTACTTCAGGTAACCAACGTTTTGAAGGAGAATAAGGAGCAGCCTGGAGTAAAAAATAAAGTTCCACTACCTTTATTTTTCGTGAAACTAGAGCCATTCCCTGTGGTATTAGGAAAATATACGAAATCAAGAGATTGTGCTACACTATCGTGAAGATAGAGAAGCTATACTCCAACAGAGAAATCGTGCAGTACCACAATTGCCAGGCGTATGGCCACACGAAGATTTATCGCCATCACTTGCCGCGTTGCGTGAAATGTTGTGAACAACAGAAATCAGGAGAGCACAAAAACCTATACAAGATCCTGCAGTTTGTACCCTATCCCTAGAGGGACACCCGGCCAACTACAATAGCTGTCAAACTTATAAGAACCTCAAATCCAGATACCAGAAGAACCGGATTCAAGATGAGACAACCAGATCAAGAAGAGAACGTTCTAGAATCAGGTTAGGGAATAGCTGCTCCTCACATTTGAACGGAAAGCATTAAATCTTCTTTACGTCGTTATGTATGATATAATGCATGGATGCTGTGAAACAATCGGAAACTGTTTGTTCTACATCATGTGTCATCATCTTCTGTTTCTTCCAGCTTGGAAGGCTCGGATGTGCAGGGCATCTAGCAAGAATGGCTGACGAGCTCCTTTTTAGTCTTCGCAGAGCTGGAAGGGCGAAGCTGCGGTTTGCAGATTGTGTAGCTCATGATCCAAGAACAAGTTTAATGTTGCGGAACTGGATGGCAGCGGTGGAGAATAGAGACGCAAGGCGGTTGCTGTTGGAAGTAGCCAGGACGGGGGTTATTGCTCTATTGAAGAAGAGGAAGATTTTTTATAACACACTTTTTATTAATCGGAAACAACTTTTTTTAAACTATACAAATTCATCAACTATTATGAATAAATAAAACTATTTAAAAACGACTCTGAAATCTGTTTGAATCTGCGTCTCAGCAATGACTCCGCGAAGCTGGTATTGTTCTAGAACAAAGTTAATTTTGTCGTTATATTAATTTCAGGAATTTTTGAAAATAAAATTACTTCTTTTACTTACCCATAATGGGGTTTACAGCAGTGCTTATTATGATGACAACAGTGCATATGATAAGGACAACATGTCCTTATAGTGCATCTACGACTCAATTTCAGAATTGTATATTTAACTAAACATAAGGAAAAAATGATTGCATTAAATAATATTCATATAAAAATAATAAATATCACAGATAAAGAAAAAATTCGGTGCAGTGCGCATATCACACAGCTTTCACTTACCACTCTTTTAGTAGAAATACAAATATTCAGACAAATGGGAAGTGAAAGTAAAAATTACATTACAACTATTCTCCATTGCGATCTTCTATTTCGCCTTTAGCTGATTATCAAATTCTTTCATATTGTATATCTAACATTTTTTTATATCAGAGATCAATATGAAATGCTTAATTGTTCCAAATAAAAAAAATATATATCAAAAATGGTCACACTAATTACAAGTGGATTATGTTGGAATTTCACTTAAAGAAAATTCATCTTATTATTTACTAATTTAATTTTTTAAAAGGTTACATAATGATTTTTCGGAATAAACGGAGGATAGATATCTAATTATTGAAATATAAACCAGATCTAGAGTTAGTAAACTCGACTTTATTTATTTTAAAAAGAAAATAACGCTGAGTATTATTCCTTAACTTACCATAGAACTTTGAATCAACGGTACCCGGATCATTCTTATATTATTCTTAAGCATGTGGAGTTTTACTGTTATGCGATGTTTTTTTTTTTCGAATTATAGATACCTTTTTTAGTTGTCTCATATACTTTAATTGTAAAGTAAAAAATCCGGCTTGACTTCAAAATTTGGATAAAACATTGTAACGAATGTTACCTGGTTTTCTTACAATACTGTTCATTTAATATGACGGAAAATGGTTTCAAAAAATCTGATTGTGGTGCTAGCTATCAGTCCATGCTTATCTTGAGTTATATAGGAGTTGACTAGAGATTATACAGTTTTTCATCCAAACATGCTATGTCACAAAAATTATGAGTAACGAATGTTACCATTATTATACTTAATATTGTTCAATTAACATAATGAATGATGATTGAAAATAATTAGTTTTGATGTATTTATTTAGTGTTAAGGTTTCATAGTTATCCAATGTTTGGTTAAATTATTAACAACCATTTCGTATGAAAACGTAAGGAATGTTACTATTATCGGTATAAATTTAATTTAATTTGTTTTAATTGTTTCTACTAACAATAGATGATATCAGTTTTTTTATTATAAACATTTAGAGAACAGGAAGATGAATTAGTTGTTTTTCTTATAGAAATTGAAGAAAGAAACGAAAATCATGATAGTATTTTTTTTAATTTTTCTCATCACAACCTCAATCCCAACCTCAAAATCCTCTTCATCCTAATATACCTAACCACCAACAACAAATTCCTCATATTCCTCCTCCTTCAAATGCAACAGATCTCACAAGTTTGTTAGCATCTTTCCTAACCGATTTCAAATCCCTTGTTACTCCACTCATATTACTCCTCTCGAATCTCGTTTCTCACCTCATCCCTCCTTTAAAAAATCCTTAAATGACTCACATCCCTAAACCCATATCCATTCTCCTTTGGAATGCGAATGGTGTTAGAAATCATACAGACGAACTATCTACTTTACTACTTGACAAGAACATTGATGTGGCACTAATTACTGAAACTCGACTAACCACTAAACAGCACTTCAATATACCACAATACCTGACATATCGTACTGACCACCCTGACGGAAAATCACATGCCGGTACTGCTGTAATTGTACACCAATCCCTCTCCCATCACGTACTCCCATTACCAATTCATGATTTCCTACAGTCCACCGCTATCGTGATAAAAACCTTCTCCTTTCCGGTTACTCTTGCATCAGCGTATTGCCCTCCTAACCGATCCATATCCAATGCCCAATTCAGTTCTCTCCTCGACTCCTTAGGATATCACTTCATCTTGGGTGCAGACCTAAATGCCAAGCACCAACAATGGGGTTCCAGAACCACGAATTCTCGTGGCCGAACCCTGCTGTCTGCACTCAATTCCCAACGTGTTCACCTCCTTTCCCCCAACTCTCCTACCTACTGGCCCACAGATCCCAACCGTAATCCTGATCTTCTTGATTTCTTTATCCACAGCGGCTTAAGTCCTCTCAATTGTTCCATTACACGTCTAAATGAACTTTCCTCTGACCATAGTCCTCTAATCCTTAATGTTTCACTTGAACCCGTTCCCAAACCTTCTCCACCGTCATTCATTAGGGGCCCAGTTAACTGGGACCTTTTCCGCCAAATAATCTCCGATAATATTGATCTCAACATATCCCTCAAAACTCCCGACGACCTTGATAGTGCCGTAAATTCCTTTACTACCACAATCCAACAAGTCGCCTGGACTGCCTCCTTCCCAAAAGACTCCTCCGGAATTCCTATAAAGACCATTCTACCCCAACACCTCCTTAACCTAATCCGCACCCGACATCCTACCGACCGCTGCTCCTATAATTACTACTGCAAACAATTAAAACTGGAATTAGCCACCTTCAGATCACAATCCTTCAACTCCTACCTATCCTCCCTCTCTTCTCGCGACAATTCCCTTTGGAAAACCACAACAAAAATCCTAAATCCTCACCGCATTTCCCATCCTCTCCGACGAGGTGATGGCTGCCCGCATCTGACGAAGATAAAGCTGAGGAGTTCGCCATTCACCTATCCAATACATTTATTTCACATCCGTAATCCCATCCTGCCCACACCGTAACAGTAGAAGAACTCCTTACATCACCAATCCCACTTTCCTTGCCCCCAAAAGCTATTCATCCTTCCGAAGTAAAATTTCAATTAAAAAAACTAATCCCCCGTAAAGCTCCTGGACATGATCTCCTTACACCTCAAATCCTTCGACAACTTCCATCCAAAGCAGTCATATTCCTTACATATATCTACAAGTGTATCCTACGCACCACCCACTTCCCTCTGTTATGGAAACAATCCACTATTATCCTTTTCCCAAAACCAGGAAAACCTCTCAATAGCTCAACATCCTATAGACCAATCAGCCTACTCCCAATCCTTTCAAAAATTTTTGAAAAGATCCTTTTGAAACGAATCCTACCCATTATAGAATCCCAAAATATCCCTTCCCATCAGTTTGGTTTTCGCTCTCAACATTCTACTGTTCAACAAGGACTCCGAGTTGTTGATCATATTTCCTCAGCCCTAGAAAACAAGGAATACTGTTCGGGTGCCTTTCTGGACATTGCACAGGCATTTGACCGGGTATGGCACTCCGGACTGCTCTCCAAGCTTAAAATCCATTTACCTCAGTCCTTGTACCTACCTAGTCCTCCGATCCTACCTCTCTGACCGCTCCTTTCGAGTTCGCTGTGGAACAGAATTTTCCAATATCTACTCCGTTAAAGCCGGTGTTCCCCAAGGCAGCGTCTTGGGTCCCGTGCTTTACATCCTCTTTACTGCTGACATCCCTGTTCATCCCGATACTTTTCTTGCAACATTCGCTGACGACACCGCAATCTTATCATCCAACTCTGATCCCGAAATAGCATCCTCAAATCTCCAAATTCTCCTCACCTTGATTGAGCAGTGGTGTAATAACTGAAGCATTAAAGTTAATGAATCTAAATGCCAACATATTACCTTTACACTCCGACGCAATTCCTGTCCACCAGTACACTTTAATTCCATCCAGCTTCCTTACTCAGACACAGTCCGGTATCTTGGCTTTCATTTAGACCGAAGACTAACGTGGAACCCACATACTAGACTCAAAAGACAAGAACTCAACCGACGATACGGCCAGATATACAGACTACTAAACAGAAAATCCAAACTTTCTATTGAAAACAAATTACTTATCTACAAGACAATACCGAAACCTATATGGACTTACGGACTTGAACTGTGGGGACAGCAAAAGCTTCTAACATCAAGCGCATCCAATCCTTCCAGTCTAAAGTCCTTCGAACAATAGTCGATGCTCCTTTCTATGTATCCAACAAAACCCTACATCATGACCTTAACATCCCATTTGTCCTAGACCTTATCCCAGAAAAATTCTCCAAATTTCACCAGAACCTTACTTACCACCCAAATCCTCTTGCACAATCCCTATCAAGCATCTCCCATCCCTATAATCCTCCAAGAAGGTTGAAACGGCAGTGGCCTCGCGACCTTTTGTAGATTGTATAAATTGGAGTTCTGGCAATGGCCAGATTCTTCACTCAAGACATGTGTGTATGTGGCTAAAGTGCTCTCGACCAATCTCCGCTGGCTTTAGTACCAGTGACGCGGTTGGAGAGTAGCGCAGGGTTCTCCTGGAGTTCCCTCGCCTGATTGTATATAGGTATGCATGTGGTTTTTTTTTTCTTAGTTTTAAGTTTCTTATTTTTTAGGTTATTTTATTTTATTGTCTATTGTATATACTTTTGATTATTATTTTGTTCTATTTATTTTATTTTTTTTGTACATATGGTGTGAATGTCATCCTACCTCACTATAACCAATGTCCAACAGACAGATTGTTATAATACTCAATAAAGAAATTTAATGAAAAATTTTTCTCATCATGACTTATGAAATATTTATGCTTTACTTTTATCTTTATTATATTCATAGCCATTATATCTTCCCAATATACTAATAAATTTTGTTTGTTTAAACTGTTTGATAGAAAACATCCTCGTTTAATGAGCTTTAAGCCCATATTAATTAAGTTATGGTTTAAAAAACGTCTGCCAATTAAGGTCAGTATAGCTTCCTTGCTGTTTTCATTAGATAAATAATATCCAATGAATAAAATATTACCAAAATTAACTTCTTTTTTCTGGGAAGTTGTCTGCTATTCTTTGTTTTTGGCAATGATGACTTCCAATTAAACAATAATAGAATTTATTTGTTGTATTTCCAAATTAAATGTTTACATGTTACATGTTTACACACCAGACATTTAGGAACGCATTATGTTCCTAAATGTCTGGTGTGTGTATTATAATTTACTGTTGTTCTACTGTTTTTTGTGGTGTGTATGGCTTCAAATAATTTTCTATTGTTTTTTGGTTCTGTGCCTAATATATGTGGTTTAT